TTATTTTGCTCTCCAGGAAAATAAGTAAATCTATTTTCACACAAGTCGGCGACCAAATCTTAACATACAGGTCTCATCATGGCCGATTATGCAAACGTGGTTTGTGCCTTTATGTGTGATGTGCGCTAGCTTAACACGCGCTCGGGCGGGGTCAAATTTCCCCCCCCCCCCCCGGAGGTTTTTCTAAAGTGGTTTCCGAACGGCGCAATGTAGCCGCGCCAAATTTTGCATAGCTATAGACAAGTGAATAGCGGATCGTTTGACATAAAAAAATTTAGATGTACCTTGCAAGGTCGCTGATCTATCGCAGGTCAAAGTCAGGCCATAGTTGCAGCGAAGTCAATTTCTAGGGAATCGTTCAATCTGATGCAACAACGGAGTGTTAGACGAAGCGATACATCTCTGAGATGCTTTCTTAGGCAACACAAATATTAAATGGGCAAATTACGTTGACCTAAGGTCAGGTATGAAGGTCAGACCAAGGTCAAAACTAATCTATTTCATTGCGGTATGGCTCGCTGTATGGGATAACTTCCGCGGCTCATTTCGAATTTTTTGATAGCAGGAACCACATTATATATAATAAGGCTAATACTTCTGTCTGATCCATGTGAATAATGTTCCTTGCTAATGCACTGGACAAATTACGTAAGTTAAAAGCTGGCTGGTGTAGACTTAGGTGTTGGCTTCCTGAGGCCATTGAGTTTCTTACAATTTTACAATCGAGTTGTTTAATTGACTATTAAGTTATTTCAGATAACTTAATAGTCAATTAATTATTAGGCTTTGTCTAACTCTTGGTTGTCGCATCAGACTGAACATTTCCACAGAGATTGTCTTTGTTCGGATTCACGGCCTGAATCTGGCCTGGTATAGATTGGCCACCGTGCAAGGTACATCTAATCCTGTATACCGGAATATCCACTATTCATTTGCCTACAGCTATCCCGAGTTGGCGCGGCTGCGCCTCGCCGTTCAAAAATTATTTTATACAAACCTTCGGGGGCTCAAGTTGACTCCCACTATCCAAGTGCATGTCAGTGCGTAAATATGTGGGATATTTGCTTGTATATTTGCATGGAAGGTACGGCTTGGTACAGACGATGTCATTTTGGGGACGTCATCGGCTGACGATGTTAATCTCTCTTTGCCTGGTATGACCTTTTATTCAAAACAACCCTTAAAAACGCCGAGCTATAGGCTTGAACCTAGAGTGAAGGCCGTAAGGCGGCAGACCGCGAAAATAACCTGACACCGGGAGATTGCGACTGTGTGCATTCGATAGCAATGGTATAGGGTTATGTTGACAGTACAACACACTCGTGAGTTTTTGTTTCGATTTTGTCTAGTTGCTCCCCTTCCAAAAAACAAAAACAAAAAAAAACATATTACTTAATGCTTAAGGACTGGTAGGAGCCATAGTTTTCATAGATATAGTGTTCAATGCCAACATTGCCCCGCCCCTCCCTCCCCCCCCCCCCCCGGGATGACCGGTGGAATATCCCCCGCTCGGGTGTGGGTCTATTTCCAGTATGATTGAGTTTTAGAGAAGCTGAAGGTTGATTTAATTTCCGCGCAGTTTTCCAGTTTGATCAAAAGTATTTTTACCGGGCTGTCGAATGATGGTCATCATTCTTTATACAGTCAGGCTTTCGAATGCACACAGCTGTAATTTTCAGATTTAAATGTATGTGTTTTGCCGGGCCGCCGTATTATGGTCATTACTCTACGGACAGGCCGGTTGTAGTTAGCACTTCGATTTCTAGTAGAAGTTGAACAAAATTTCATTTCTCCGTAGATGAAAGTAGATTAATGTTTAAGTTATTTCATAGGCTATGATTGCATTTTCGAGGAGCATCATGCATATAGATGAGAGAGTATTTACAGTTTTATTCTTCGTACAATAGTCAGGCGAATAGAGAGACAGGTGCATTGCTTTTTTGGCTACATGCCTTTTTCGAAGCGAATATCAGTAGCGACGACCAATATTCGATCACTAGTATAACCACTGATATTCGTTTCGGTGAAGGCATGTAGTCGCAATATTCACGCATCTATCTTTCCATTCTCCTGGTTATCCGATAAGAAATCAGGCTGCTAAAACTGTATCATCTGCATGAATTTATATACACATTTATGCTAGCGGCTGACAGTGCAAACACAGTGTTATGTACACACATGGTGGCACGCATCGAGATCGCGCGCACTGCGGTCGATAATAATCATTTTCCGTTGGCCGCTGTAAATTTGCATGTTGGTGCTATTGCCTGCACATCAGTATTAAAGGAAGCATGCGATTTTTTTGCATTTCTCGCTTATTTTTTGATGAGATGCTTACGAATTTATAACTAATACCAGTTGTTTCAAAGTCCTCTGAACAGGGCATAATTTTTATTCCAAGCAGTCGATCCTGCGTGAAAAGCCCCACTTGACTTCCTGCCCACCAATATGAATGTAATACATTTTATTTGCCTCAGTTTTTCGACGTGTGTGTTCTGTCATGTTTGCAACACACTAATTGGTCAAAGTGTTTGTGTAATAAGTGCTACAAAAGTTTGAAACACTCTGTTGAGACCAAAAAAATAAGCGTAATCAAACTGTTGTCGCTCAAGTTCAATAAAATGCTATGCTGTGACTTTAACAGTGGCTCGTTTCGAGGCGTACTTTGGCTTTGGGAAGCGGGACACCACATGGTTCTTAAGGCGCACTAGCCAAACTTCGATCAATCCGCTTCTTGGCAACAGCCCCTCGCCGCTCGCTGGGCTAATCAAAAGCTTTTTTAGCACCAGGTGCCACGGCGGTTGCCATGACGCCAGTGGTCGCGACTGCAGGGAAGAAACGCAGTGCTGTTACAAAACGTTGACAACGTAATTTGGAATTAAAAATGATTAAAATTAATGTTCTTATTACGTACTGCGGTGGCACTACCCAGTGCTATTAGTAAACGTTATTCGTTCAGAGGTTTCACTATTGTATGTTTCTGAAATATGCCTCAAAGGTGGGACGCTCCATTTGACACGCGCCCGGGTAGTCGGTTAGTACTAAACGCTTGGGGGGAGGGGAACAATTTGGCCTCACCCCGACCTGAGATCGAAAGGACCAAGGAGGGTGGAAACTCCAAATGTACTGGGCGAGTTGGCCTGCATGTGAAACCCTCGTGTCGATACTTAAGGTTCCTGGACCACGACTGTCGAATCAAGTAAGGTCAAACAACGTCAAACACCAGGCTAAGCTCCCAAGGGCACCTAGACCTCCGCATACAACCGCCTTGAACTTAGATACCTGTTCTAAGCGAAAGGTTGCTGGTGTTCACTTTAGGCCAGAAGTCTTGCGCGGCCATTAGGTCATGGTAACCAAACATGTATAATATTGCTTTGATTTGTGAATTTGATAAGCGTCAAGGATTACGCAATATGCGCCTAGTAAAAGACTGCCTGCCTAACAAGGAAACGCCTAAAAAGGAAGAGAGATGCCATTTTTCTCAAATTGGTCATTATGGCGCGCTCCCATTGACTTACGTGGCCGAAAATAGGCTTCTTTTGGTCCATCCAAACCCTATTTTTCTGTCAGAAAGGCGAGCTTCCATTGCCCCATACTCGAAAAAAACGATAGATACAGCTTTGGTGAATACGGTATTTCTCCAAACTGGGTGACTACTATAGAGCTTTGGAGAGTACAAACAGGTTGATGTGCGGATCCACAAAAAAAAAACTCCGGAGACTGCAGGAATGTCACGCCCAAGAGCCTCCCGCAACCTGCGAGGAGCCCCCATTTGGCTAGGAAACCCCTGAAATTCTTCCCGCAACTCAAGACCCGTGACTACACCCGTGAACACTGTATCTTCATGCCCGTGATGTTCTGGGGTCAATGGAGCCTGAGGCAGAAAGCCTGAAAAGTATCACATTGTAAAAATTATCAAGCGTCAGGACATATAACACCGCGCGAGGGACCATACAGATCTGAATTCGGGACAACTCTACGCCTCCGCGCAGTCCTGAGACCGCCTATTGGCTGAGCCCACTGGCTAAGCGGAGATGGGAGCCTTACTGCTTAGACTCCTACCCTGCCCCCCCCCCCCCCCCCCCCCAGAAATCTACTCTTCAGCCGGCCGCATCCATTCGGTGATGAACTGGTAGGTGAAGTACAATGAAATAGGTATCTCCGGTCGAGCATGATATCACGGAGCCAGTCGATTGCCATCCGGAAGTGCTATCAGCTGAGCATCGCTGCACCACCCGCGCATGTTTATAGATGCATTGAACCGGCTGCAGTACTTTCGCCCCCAAACCCGGCCGGCCTCCCACATTCTCTCTTGCTCGCCAGCCAGTCACGCCAATCAAAATGTTGCCTTTGCAGGAGAACCTTGCCGCAGCTTCAGATGATAGCCCTCTCACGGTGCTATCGAATGGGTGTAGTCGCACCCTCCGTTTACGATTACAACTTTATATAAAACTCTGCCCTGTTTTAACCATAGCGCTCCGGCGGGCCACATGCATTCGAAAATGCACGGTAATGGGGTCGTGCTAATACAACAGTTGGCCTTGGCCATGCAATATGTTTAGATGTCAGTTCATACCTCTTTTACAGTGCTATGGAATGTGCACGGTTGCACCGTACACACCTATCATTAAAAATGTGGGTGGGGCTTATGTGTGATAGTTCTCAGCGATGTGCATTTTGCAGCTGATTCCACCGGGCGCGTTTCCCCAGAAATTCACGGCTGGGTGTCACCATGGAACCTTAATCTTGGAGACAAATTCTGCATATTTTGGGGAGGAATGTCGCAGTGCCCGCGTTGTTGTGGTAGCGTTGTCACGGATGTTGCCAGACGGGAACTGGTCGATGTGGTTCTTCAGCGCAACCGTGCCAGGTACCGCATTCGTCTTATCAGCTCTTTTTCAGTCTCGCATTCCCGGGGTACCAGCATAACGTTCTTCGCCTCGACGACACGTGTTTTGTTTGGCGTATATTAGCACTGACAAACGCTACGCAAGCCGCGAAAGCACGCATGCTACGTCGTACTCGCCGCTTCCCGGATTAGCCTCACGCCTACGGTTAACTCTTCCCAGACCCACCAGGCCACCAGCACGGTTACCGTGCGGCGGAGTGGCCGCCGTCGCGCGCAGGTCACGGACAGGTCAGCGGCGCACGCAGGCCATGTCCGCTTGACGCTCAGCCGGCCTGACGGGTGTGCGTCGGCTGATTATCACAGATGGCAGCACCAGGTGTCACAGCATTGCCTAGGTGGCAGCACCTACACGTCGGAAAGGCCTATCATGATGTTGGCCAGGCCGTTGCGCCGCTTTCTCCAGCCCCCGAGGCGTTGTGCGAAGTACTGCAGGTGCCGGAGCCACAGTTCTGTCCGCTCGGCGTCCTCTGCCTGGATGGAGCCAAGAACCGGTCATGAGTAGAGTGAGAACGGACGAGAGTCTGGGATCCAAAGACGACTAAACCGTGCGCTCACTGTAACAGGGGCAAGAAACACAGAAGCGGTCGCGTAGAACAAATTACTAGAAGACGCACCATTGGGAGTGGTGGACAAGGTGAAAATTTTTTGTCAGTGGTCTGGGGTGTCAGCGTGCTGACCAGCATTGCTCAGTTTATCCTGACGTCTTACCTTGACAATGAGTGATTCTTTGGTTGTGTGCTCGTGAATTTCAAAGCAGTCTCGAACCTCCGGATCTGTGCAAATGATGCACTTGTCCAGATTTATCGGGTCCTGAAACACGGTAATCAACTCGTATTGGGTCCAAACTGACAATGGATCACACCGACCTTGAATGCTTGCAAATGCTGCTATGTTATTCTCGTGCACGTTCTCCCACTGTAGCATTGATTCACATCCATTTAGACGTGCAACATGAACATAGACACCCAACTAAACGACTTGCTTCTGTGCTTCTCTGCATTCAGAAGCATCTCGAAGTGGAGCAAAGAAACTGGGGTGGCAGTATCGAGACCCTGGTATACAACAGGCCGCTGCATGTGGAGTCCCGCCATCTATCGGCGGGCCCTCGTGTGACGACCGTCTGCGTGGGCGGTGGCCTACCCTGGCCAGCGCCATACGTCCGGGCGCTTTGTCCTTGACCAGCAGCAGCGCCGTCTGCCGGAGGCGGCCGGTGCGCGGCAGCAGCGGCCGCTGGCCGCCCAGCTGGGCGCTCCAGTCGGCCGGCGCGCCGCCCAGCGTCACCAGCAGCGCGTGCACGGCCGTCATGCGGACCGAGAACCGGCCGCGCCGCGTCCAGTTGTTCTCCGACGGCAGCGTGTACAGCAGCCGGCCGTCGAGTGCAACGCTGGACTCCTCGGCCGGCCACTCCAGCCGTCTCCAGGCCAAACTGTCGGCGGCGCCGCGGCGTCAGTCGGTTTCCGCGTCGCAGAGCATGGCACGAGGCAGTGTCCGGCGCCAGATCACGCGCGCAGCAGGAATGAGAACAGGCAGAATACCGAACGTCGGCACGAACAGCTTCGTAATGACGACGTGGATGGTAGATGTTTTGCAAGCAAAACATTCAGAGTTGATTTGCACAAGAAACCACATCATCAAATCAATCAATACTGCGATCCCCATCAGGTCCAATCCACACCAACGTAAAAACAGCACGACGTTTCCGCGTCACGGGCACCGAGAGACGGCTGAGCGTCGCATCTCACCCGGGCCGAAGCGCTCCAAACGCGTACCTCGAACACTACGGGTACCTTAACTGCACGTTCCAGAAGACCACGCGGCTACGACACCGTTTGAGCACACTCCTACCCGTAGTGAACCTTTGACGTTCTGGCCAGAGCTCCGGCGAGGCGCCTCGTGTCCGCTAGCTCAGTCTGTGCGGTAACGTCCTGAGCAAGGACGGGCCCGAGCGCCCCCTGTCGCGGTTGCTCACCTTGCGCAGCCGGAGGGTCGTGATGTCCTGCTCGGAGACGCTCCGTTTGATGGGCGTGGCGGCGCCGCCCATCATGGAGATGCGCCTCCAGATGCGAGATCCGCCGCTGTCCTTGGCCGTCTGCCGGCGGACCGGACAGGGGCGGTCACGCACGGCCCGGCCACGTTCCAGCCCACGGCACGAGTACGGCGGAACGGCCGGCCGGGGGGGGGGGGGGGGGGGGGGGCAGGCCGCAAGGCTGTGTAAGATCCGGGACATTGCAAAAACTTTGCATGAACGAATCTCGCGTCAATATCGTTGCATCTTTATGTCAGCAGCGCAGCGTCAAGATTTCTTGTTAACAACCTTCTCTTGTGTTATACAAATGCGCGCCGTTCACATAAGCGGTTCGGTACGCTGCCTGACAGTCACCAGCAGCCACGGACACGCCTGGCAGGCCGGCAGGCCGGGCCGTCGGTCCCGGCCCGGTGCGGGCTCCACTCCGTGCACTGACCGCGTTCATGTGCTCCAGGTGGAGCTCAATACGCTCCTGGGCGTCGGCCCAGCGGTGCGCCACTCTCGTGGCCCACCGGCGTCACGTTCCGCAGGCGCGACAGCAGCAGCGGGTACTTGGTCACCCTCTGGATCGGTACCTGGGGCGTGGTGCCGACCGTAAGTTCGCCGCATACCGCTGAAAATCCTGGACCGGCGGGACTTGGGGTACATTCCCACGCGCCTCACTAGGTGCCTCCACACCCTCCCATGTAAAACACCCGTCATTTTCCTTAATCCTTGACTCGCTGGAAGCTCAATAGTGGATTTTCTCACTCAATTACAAAATGTGTTTGGATTACAATTGTAGTTGGGCTTTTTGTAATGATTGGACCATGATAACACACCCAGCGACCAAAGATCGCTTCCACCTGTACTCCATTTGCCTTGATGCAAATTAGGCGACATTGGCATTCTTGCAGACTTGAAGACCGGGCAGGTCACCCGGTCATTACCATGAGAAAGGAGCTGAGGTTCATGCGCCGCAAGAGGTTGTTCTCCATCTGGGAGACCTTCAGGAAGACGCGCAGCAGCTCCTTCTCTTTCTCCAGATTGGCGAGAAGAAGGGATGCAGCGCCCCTGCAAACAACACCGACGGTCAGAGCCGAGCGGGTTCTGACCACAAGGTCATGTGAACGCAATCACGAACAGCCAAATGGACTTGAGAAATGTGTCAATACATCCCATTACATGGGTGTGCGAGGGAAAGTGTGTAAAACAACTCCCTGTACCGCAGATATTCCAGCTGGTATGCTACATCGTGAGCATACACCGCCACGTGATGCTGTGACTGGCTTTTACACCAGTCTCTTTTATATATTCCCCATTACATTTGCTTCTTGCCAGTCGTTCCCGTTTTTCGTCTCTAAGTGATTCCCTCATTAAACGGCTCCAGGCTTCTTTCCCGTTGTGGCGGCCCCTGATACGACGCTATCCGCGCTACAAAAGCGTGAGGCGTTGACGGCGTGTGCCCCGTTTTGCAGCCGACCCGTCCATCAGCGAGGTGTGCGCGGCCCGCGGCCGTCAGACCGACGCTGGTGTGATGGCCGGCCGCACAAAAAGCCCGGCGTCGGAGGCACGGGCGGCACGCGCCGGCGGCTCTGCGGCGCGCCGGCCGCGGCGAGGCGCCGGCCGGCCGGGCTGGCCCCACCGCAACACACCGCATGCGGGGTTGACCCGCTCACTTCCCTCAACCGACCAGCGGCTGGGCCTGCGGGGGCGCCGTTGGACGGCCGAGGTAGCAAGTGGCCGCACCACTCGGGCTAAATCTGCGCTGCGCTATACGGGGTGTGCCGCTCGTGCAAAATCGATGACCGCGTTCGGTCGGCGTGGTTGTAATGGAAGCTTCGCACGCTTTGAATTCTACAGTATCATGTGGACAATTTGCCCGAATGGTTGCAACGATGAACTTTTCTGTGTATTTTCTTCACTTTCATTTACCCAGCGTGGTTCTGTTAGCCCCTCCACACGATAGAACGTCAGCGTAGTTTATCAGCAAATTTAGCTTTTTGTAGACTCCTTAAATGTCGACATCATGGTTAATGTCTTGGACTATCAAACAAAGCGCACGATCGCTCATAAGAGCCTCTGTAACTTATCCATATGTATGAGAGCAAACAAGCGCAATCAAAGGTGCAAAAAACGCTTGTGGATTGTTGAAGCCCTTTACATCATTCCACTATCATTGTTCACCTGCTTTCACCATTGCGCAAATTCCAAACAGTTGCGGCTGCTTCACCTGGCTGGAACCACATACTTGATATTCCTGCCCCTTACTTGGTATCATTTGATAAAATCCATCGCAGACTTTCGCCGCGCACTGTCAGACGAGCCCGCCATCAAGCCCTGGCCCGGTAGCTGCTGCCGCTGCGGCTGAGCCGGCATCAAGCCTGGCCCGGTAGCTGCTGCCGCCCGCGGCTGAGCCGGCATCAAGCCTGGCCCGGTAGCTGCTGCCGCCGCGGCTGAGCCGGCATCAAGCCTGGCCCGGTAGCTGCTGCCGCCGCCGGCCGGGACCCCGCGGTAGCGCGCTGTACCCAGTCACCACACCCCGAGGCATTCTCCTTCGCGTGTGATTCGCCGAGAGCACTGTCACGTGACACGTCAGCCGGCGGCGGCGGGGGTACTCGCCTGCTTGGTGCAGTAAGTCTCGAACGCCCTCAGCGTGTTGTCCAGGCCGTCGAGGAAGGGCGTCGCCGATGCTGACCGACAGCAGGTCGTCGTCGCCCTGGTTGAGCGCCGCCTCCAGCGCCTCCTTGAGCCGCGCTGTCAGCTGGCGGCTCACCTCCAGCAGCTCCTCCACGTTGAGAAATATCTGAGAGGCGCGGGGGCATGTGCACGTGAAGAAGGAGAACGAGGTGTCGTGGAGCTCTCCAGCAGCAGTGCACTTTGGCTTGATTACGCACTGGAGCGAACGCACGGTTTTGGAATGGGGGAGACCTTTAGCCTCATGCGTATTCATACGTGTAGCAATTTGATAATGGCGTGTCCCCGGTCTCCCGTACTTGATAATGACGTGTCCCCGGTCCCCCGCACTCTTGCATACATCCTTGTTCCCGCTTTATCATTGATATTGGTTTATGTTGTTACCAACGCCTACAGTACAAAACAAACATGACGTATAGTCCTCATAGCTCCTTATCGCAGTTTCCAGGTGATCGTTTGCATGTGAAGCTGCTGCTATATCGACAATGTCTGGGATGATCAACAATGCCGTTTGCTTTTAAACAGGTAGCTGGTCTGAGGGGAGGGGGAGTTATTTGCGGGTCAGGAGGCGGACAATGTGCAAGTAGGCATGGCTAGATACAGATTGTGCCGCGACTGGAACGCCATGGTCACCACCACCACCACCACCTTCCTTTCCAAGAGTGGATATAGCACGACCGCTACATTGATAAGGGCGCCATATAAGGAATTTCCCGCATCAGTTTTGTTTGACTTTTTCTCGGGATCCGTGATGCTGATGGAGCAGCCAGTAGCAGGCTGCACCAGTCGCTTGACGGCTGGATGGCAACCAAGCTGGGAGTGCTGCTGGCCTGTGACAGCTGCTGGCCTGGACTACGCCACAGCTGGCGTGTGGCAACTGCGGATATGTGACCGACTGCAGCGCACCTGTGACAGCTGCTGATCCGCGCCAGTTGCTGACCTGTACTGGATCATAACCTGTGCCTGCAGCTTACTTGTGTCAACTGCTGACTCCTTCACATTTGCTGATCTGTGACGGGCTGAAGCTCACCTGTGACAGCTGCCGACCTGTGACGGGCTGAGGCTCACCTGTGACAGCTGCTCATGCGTCAGCAGGCCGGCCACCAGCATCGGCCGGTAGAACTCCTCCAGCATGACGCGCAGGTCGCGGCCGTACTTGAGCTCCGTCTCCACGATCTCGGTCAGGATCTCCTTGCGCTCCTGACGCTTCTTGTGGCACTTCCTGCACACGGACGGGTCGAACCGCACCCCGCTGCCGGGTCAAGGTCACCGCGTCAGGTCACCGACCCCGGCACCGGCGATGAGCGCGCCGTGACGCCGCGGCCGCTCACTGGTTTCCGTTCGGCACCTCGGGACCGACGATCGCGCCTGCCCGTGCGGCCGCGAGCTGTAATTCAGGCTCATCGCGGCGGCGGCTGATTCGACTTTAACCACGTGTGTAAAAACCGTGGCCGGGCAGAGGGAGGCCGGCCGACCGGAGATCGATCGGCGCGGTCGGGAGGCCGGTGGTCCGGACAGTGGCTGCCGTCCAGACAGCGGTGGCGTCCGGACAAACAGCCGTCCACAGTCTGCACGGCGGCGGCGCGTGGACGACGTTCATCCGCTGCGTTTTGGCAAGAAAGGTTCCCATCGTTTCATGGAGTCATAAAATTATCGAGTAAGCCACATGCGACCAGTGACCCGAATTGTACCGGTGTTACTTTGCGACACGAGCGTCCACACATGGTCCGGCGTGACGAGCCCGACCGCACGGTGACACCGCGTGACACGTGTGACCGCGCCGTGTCACTGCGTCGCCCGACCTGCCGTCCATTAACGCTGAGAGGTAGCGTCTCTACGTAACGGGAGTATAGACGGGCTGCTGCAGGCTTGGCTACGCAAGCAGCGCCGCCTAAGGCCGGCCGGCCGTGGCGACGTCTCGCCGGACGGCGACGCGACGCCTTCATTCGCCCGCCATTATCCTAATTGGTTCAGCGAGCAGCTGGTGTCCGGCGCAAAAAGGTGCGGCGGTTCCCACGGCCCGGGTTAATAGCGCCGGCCGCGCGGACAGAGGTCAGGCCGGACCCGGCGTCCGCCGCCGGCGCCCGACCCGGTGCCAGGGAGCAGGGCCGATTAACACCTCTGGGACTCCCGGCCGGTGAGCGGAGGCCTCTCGATAACGGACCCTGACGAACTCTGACGGCAGGGCGATCTGGTCCAAGCCACGGCCGGTGGACATGACGGGCAGCAGCGACTGTCATTACACGACCGTTGCTTAGATGGCATGTTTGACGACCTCCTAAATCACCAGACATACGATCCACGGCGTGAGCGGTCAGAGCGAGGCTAATTCGCCACCCGCTTTGCACTGGATCCTCTGCGCGGCACTCACCTGTCGGTGACCTGGGTCTGTACGGGCTGGCGGCAGTCGTCGCAGTCGTGGGCGCCGAGCTGGCCCGACCGCACCGGCGCCTTGCTCGTCTCCGAGCCGACGCCCGAGTCTGTCCGCTCCACCTCCGCCGACAGACAGCGGCCGCCCTGTCCGCACACACCGCCCGTCAGCGTCGGCCGGACAGGGGCGGCACTGTCCCCGCCAGCCGCCGCCACCGCCGCTATCGGGTCGACCGCGCTAATGGCGGGCCCGGTCTGCGGACTGACCTCGCCGAGGTCGCGCTTAGGAGCGGCGGGTCGATTAGTGGGACATTGTGCGCGCTGACAGCTGGCGGAGCGGCCGATCGCCGCTCGGCAGATGCGGGACGGGCGTGGCGGCGGCGCCGGCGCGAACCTTACTGGATATCGGTCAGAAGTGGCGCAGCGTGATGACCTCAGC